TTTGCTCCTTTTCTGAATTAATTAGGAAATAAAAATAGAAACCCTGACATGTTTATAAAGATTCAGAGTGCTGGTTAAACATGAAAGAACAGAGGTTGGGAACACAGAGGTGACACATTTTATTTCTATGATGACAAGTTAGAGTCCTCCTGCCAGCTGGCCCTTGCAGAGCCAGAAGCATGCACCTGTCTACAGAGAAGTCAAGGAGGAAGGGGGAGCTGAAAAAGCCTCTGGGGCCGGTTGGCCTTCCAAGCCATGCAAATGAGTTCTAATTGCTCAGGGTCATTGAACAGGGTTCAATGTGGAGAGGTTCCTGACAGCTGCTGGCAGAGGGGGAGGCAGGGAAAGCACTTCTGCCAGCCTGACCACAACGGTGGTCCTGTTTCTGCTTACGGCCCACCAGGAGCCAGCTCCGGCATGGGGAGTTCACCTCTTCCCACCTTCTGACACACAGGAAAAGGGGCAAGGGGTGGATCTTCTGAGTGTCCCCAGGATACACTTTTGACAGTCCTGCCAAAGGAAATGAGAAGCGATAAGTGATCGAGGCCCCGATTAGATCAGCCACCTTGGGAAAGGTGCTGAGCCAGAGATATTTCACTGAAATAAGGAGAAACCTGGGAATAGATTTCTGGCAAGCAATCCCAAAGTAGATATGGTCTGAATTGGAAATAGATTTCATGGGCAGATAAAGTCTAATAAATGGCAGGTCACTCAAAAATCATATATCATCAAGTCTCATACAGTGTGAAGTTTGTTATCAATAATTTAACACGAGAAGGGCCTAGCCCTTAGCAAATATTTAATTTCAAAACATACCTACTGATTTACTCAGATACAGCATACATAGTATATTAAAAATATATTGCAAGAAGCCACGGGCCAATAAAGCTGCACTCTTTGCTTTCCAAATATTCTGTAACAGAGGGCACTGGGCCCTCCATCCACAGAGCTAGTCCACTAGCAATGGACCAATCACACTGGAGAAAAAAGTCTGCACACAGATGCAACCTGAGCCCCAGTCCCAGGCCAAGCAATGTGCCAAATCCCTTTGTATAAGTACTGGGGACAAGAATTAGGTCTCCAACAGACTGTGCATACTGGACTTGAAGGCTACAGGAAAGGGGGGCGGGGGCAGCTGAGTAAAGCAAGAAGGAAGAATTTCTTAAGATATTAGGAGGCAAAGGGAATTATCTCCACGGATGCTGTCTGTAATTAGTGTTAGTCTGAGCCAGTCGCCCTTCAGCTCCCACTCAATCATTCAGTCTACTCCAAAGCGGACCCTCTCCTCTTCTTGGCTGAAAAGTGTCACCCCTGGGCAGCAGGCAGTAGCAACAAGGGTTTTAGAGAATCGATATTTTCTAAGACAATGGTAGTTCATTTAACGGAGTGAAAAAAATAGGCATGCCCTCAGGGTCCATGGTAGACAGTTTCCAAATAAGGATCTGGGTCTTCTTTTAGGGGGATGATAAACACCTGGCAGGAAGATGTTTGGTGGCTGACGGGAAGAGAGCAGAGCGAGAGAACCAACAGGTGCCTCTAATCATCTTCCTGGGGGAACAGTGAGGGGATAACTGAACTCAGAGCCGGGGGGAGACTGATGCCAGCCCAGCTCTGCTACCGTTAGCTTTTGCTCCTGGATTCGACTCCACCATCTCAAAGGGCCCTTCCAATCTAGGGTGCTAGAACAGAAAACTTACCAGGTGTCAGCAGAGGGACTTCCTACCAACTTCCACCCCCACACTGGCATTGCCACAGGACACTTCTCTGATCATGACACAGGCAGTGACTGGAACAAGAAAAGAGGACTGGGCCAACTGTCGGGAAAACCTGGCTCTTCACCTCTCTGGGCTTATTTCTATATGCAGAGACCTCCAAGTTTCTCCCAGCTCTTAAAGTCTCTTTCCTAAGAAATTCAGTCGCTTTTACAGCTAAAAAGCTATGTGGATATGCTATGCTATGTTTATAAATTATGCAGTTTCTCCTTCATAAACTACAATCATCCTTCCTCCTTTATCTTCCCTGATAAAACCCCCACCTTTCTGCCAGCCCACCAAGGGGACCCTTAGGAAATACTGACTCCAGAAGGTCATAGTTAAAATCACTTTATGATGACCTTAAACGACCTTTGCCATCTGGATAGGGTGTACCGGAGAGCTGGTACCCAACCACGTGACACTTCAGATTCATGATGAAGACAGCACGAAGGGGACAGGCTGGAGTGGAGGCCTGGGGGGCGTAGGGGTGAACACTAGATTAAAGATGGACAGGGGGGCTGGACAAGCTGCCCACTCCCCACTTTTGCTAAAGGCAGGTCCTTTCCAACGCTGGTGAATTCTCTGCAAAACAAAAGCCCAGTCTGCAACTCGTTATAGCCAAACACAAAGCACAGTTCCAGAGCACACAAACCACAAAGTATGTAAAAGTCAGCATTTTGGAACCAAAAGGAACTGCCACGCTCAGGCCCCTGGGGGCTGCTGAGGGATCGCTCCTGCTCCTCTCGTGACATCTACTGATTCAAAATCCAACCCATACCCCTACCTCAGAGGATACTGACGCTGTTTAACAATTGTTTCTTCTTTATCCAGGCACGCTTTTGTCTACTTCTGGAAGCGCTAGGCAGCGTCGTGGCCAGTGATCAGCTGGTCAGAGAAATAATGCTCACAATGCTTAGACGGGGTTCTCAGCTGCCCTCCCACCTTCACTGCCATGTTTGGGAAACTCTTTACTCAGTAGAACTGGGACTGGGTACTGACATGTTGAACCACTACCCTCCTTGCTCTGAAGTCAGGCTAAGTGGGAGAAGAAGAATCAGGTCTTTGATTTTTGCACTAGGTCTCACGGAAGCAAATTCCACGCCTGACACCATAAGCGACTTGTTTTCAGCCTGTTTCTGACACCTCTGAGGGCTCCCAAGTTAATTTTCTGGAGACTCCCATTTTAGGCAACTCTGGGAGCCCCGGAGGGAAAAACGTTAGAAATATCAAAACAGCCACGTGCTCTGGCATTTGGCACTTTGTAGAACAATTTAAATTTAGTGCGTTTAGACCACTTCATATTAACTAATTTAGAAAATTTTGCTTTAGCAGACTTCGCTGGCTGCTTTTCACTGCCAAACTAAATACTCCACTTTAAAATACACCCCTGCGTACTCAATGTGATTTCTCCTTTTAGGCTTGGAATGTAATGTTGACATAAATGTCAAATAAAATTAATGAGAGAATGGGCCCTCAAATGGTATTCCTGTGAAGGGAATTTGTTCGACTGGGACCTTTGAGCCCAAATGTATATATAATTATATAACACTCATAGGAGGAAAGAATCTGAATGTTAAGCTTTAGCAAATTTATCACCTTTGTCAGAAATGCTGTTACCTACAAAAAACAGGTTGCAAGTAAATTAAGATGAAAATACCATCAGATTAGGAGTCTGTCACGGCAAGCTACTGCAGAATTAGAAGGGTGGCCCATCTGCTGAGTATCGAATCCTCCCCTTATCTATACAGAATTCAGATCAGATGTCTGCTGCTAAGCCTGCACACTTCTGCTGTTGGCTTTGCAAATGGACCTCCTCTGCCCAGCCCAGCTCCTTCCCTCTCTCCCCCACCCCTCCCAACTGGCCACTTAGGAGAGTAAAAATGGCAGTTAGAGCAATAACAGGTATTTTCACTCAATAGTCAAGGCACCAGACACCAGCAGAGTGGGCGCCTCCATCCATACGCTGATAAAACTACTTGGTCTTTTATTTGCAGTCTCAAAAGTCTTCCCCAAGTATAGGAGAATCACGGAAAATCACTCTAATCATTGAAAAGAGCCCTGTGCCAAGTAAAGCAGCAAGTCTTCCCTTGTCAGAGTAAAAGCTTGGAGTAAAAAATGTCTTGTAAACACAGGGAAACCTACATTTACCTCCTGGCTGAGGAAAATGGCTTGCAGGAGTCACGTGCAGCCTCAGCAGCATTTATGCAGAGGGCCTGCAAAGGCCTGGGGTGTGAGTGGAGGCCGGAAGGGGAGGAGTCACCAAGCAAACAGTTACTGTGTTTTAGTTTTCACACTTCAGAGTTGAATCCATTCCTTTTTCATATACTGATCTCAGATACAATCCATACTTTTGAAAATCCATCATACATTCCCTAAATAAAATCCCATGGATAAGTTTCTATTTCTTTCCTGTTACCCATATACCTCCCTCTCCTGGAAATCTAAAGAATCATGAAGGCCCCCCAGGAGTGGTTCTTCCAATGGCAAAATCACAGGGGGATTAAGTGAAACCCACAAATTCCTTCTGATGCTCACACATCTTTTTTTTTTTTTTTTTTTGAGACAGAGTCTCACTATGTCACTCTCAGTAGAGTGCCCTGACGTCACAGCTCATAGCAACCTCCAACTCTTGGGCTTAAGCAATTCTCTTGCCTCAGCCTCCAAAGTAGCTGGGACTACAGGCGCCCACCACAATGCCCGGCTATTTTTTTGTTGCAGCCGTCATTGTTGTTTAGCTGGCCCAAGCCAGGTTTGAACCCACCAGTCTCGGTGTATGTGGCCGGTGCCATAACCACTGTGCCACAGGCGCCAAGTGACACACATCTTTACAAAGACCACAAAATCCATATATTTGGGGGCAGCCACAGAGACTTTCTAATTTTTGTGAGAGAAAAATAAAAACCAACTGCCAATGAGGACAACTCATGCTTCTTCTGTTTCCTGTGAAGTCGTAATCCTCACCCTGGATAATTTGGAATGTCTGCCTGGGACCCAGAGAGCATTCTCCATTTTCTTCTTCTCTGGGCTATCAGTTCATAGTGAACAAATATGCAAATTTTTCTGAGGGGGAAATTCAACTACCAAAATAACTCCTTCATAATTCATATGTGCAATCACAACGGTGATTAATAAAAATCTGAAACAGTTCCTAAAAGCCTAAAGCATTAATTACTCTGTTAGATGTCAGGACTCTATGAAAACCTATGACAGCAGGTTACTCAGGCAAATTAAATCAGATGAACTTACGGTGGAAAAGGAGAAATCTTGCCTTGGTGGATTTGCAGCCTGGTATAATGTATGCTTTTGAAGAGAGGTGACCAACCCACAGCTCTTCAGGGCACTATATTTCAACCTTGAAAGGCATATGAAAGGGGAAAAAATGCTATTGCAAATTGAATTTATGCTGGGATGAAAGGTAATATTCTATCCTTTGAAAGATCTACAATGAATGAGTAATACTATTTCCATTAAAGGGAAGACTAACACTCGTTGAGTATCTATGGTGTGTCCATAGTCAGTGATATGATTCTTTTCTCGTCTTCTGTGACATCAGATGACCAATTCTCCTCCAACCTCAGTGAGAGCTCCTTCTCAATTATTTTTCCTAGTTCATCTTGCTTGGTCCAATCCCTAAATTTTAGTGCTCAGGACTACGTCTGGGGCCCTTCTCTCTTCTCTGTCCCTCTCTCTAGATTATCTTACCAAACATCATAGCTGTAGCTGCCACCTACATGCTATGACTCAAATTCCATGACTCTCCCCCACCCCCCGAGCTCTAGATGGAAATATCCAGTTGCCCCCCTGACTTATGCAACAGGTATCTCCAACTCAAGCTGCCCAACACAGAATTCTCAATCTCTATTTCTCCACCCCAAATCCGCTCACCCTAAGGCTTTCCAGTCTCAGGAAATGACACCACCTTCCAAACTCCTAAAATAATCCTCCAATTCTCCCTTTCTCTCACCCCCCACTTCCCATCCATCAGCATGTTCTGTTGGCTCTACTACCAAAACATACCCTGAATCTTTGTACTTCTCACCATCCCACATCACCACTCTAGCCGGAAGTTCCCCTCTTCTCTCCCAGACACTGTCATACCTTCTAACTGGTCCCTGTGCCTCCATCCTTCACACCATGCCCAGAATGTTCTCCTAAAAATGTAAAACTGACTCAGTGACTTATTTGCTTAAAGCCTCCAGCAGTTTCCCATTACCCCTAAAATAAAAATTGCCCTTCCCTTGCCTCTAAGACCTGAGATGATGGGGCCCTGCTATTTTATTTCCTAGTCATGCCGCAGCTCAGCAACTACAGACACACTGGTCCTTCTTCCCACTCCTCAAACATGTGAGCTGGTCCCACCTCCCAGCCTTTGTATGTATCATGTCTTTGGCTGGTCCTTTCTAGCCAGAGAACCTTCTCTGTCTACCCTTATCAAGGGGATCTCACTGTCATTCTTTATCATTCTTTACCTTATATGATTATGTCATACCCAATGGCATCTTGTATACTTTTTTTTAGCTGTTTATTTCCTTGTCTCTTCAAACAAAGGATAGCAGGAACCAGAACCATCTTCCTGCTACCGAGGAGATACCCAATATGTCCCTATTTTTTCTTAACTTTATGAGATGGGTTATTCCTATCCTGAAGAGGAAAAATTAAGGTTTTCAGGGTTAAGTACAAAGTCACCAGGTAACTGGAGGCAAAGCAAAATCAGAATTTAAATCTGAATCAATTTGACTCCAATACCCAACTTTTCCAACAACAGATTGATAGTTCTATCCAAGTCTAGAAAATCAATCAAGTATAATAACTCTGCTCCTAAGATTTTTCCAGAAACAAATTGCCGGGGAACCTGTCTAGGCTCAGTATTTCTTCTTTAACCAGTTTTCTCACCTATAAGACAGGTGAACAAAATGAGTTTCTAAAAGAGATGTCAAGAGAAATAATTTCCTTCAAAATTACAGAGTGTTCTGTAAACTCTCAGAGGATGGTTTTTGAGGACCATGATGTTGAGTAGTTTTAACCAAAGCCTGTTTTGTGCTCAGAGGAAGTCACAGGCAGGGCTCTTAGTCAAACACGGTAATCCTATAAACACAGTTGAGAATTAAGGACCCCATAACAATGCCAAGCAAATAATGGCCTCACATTCCCCAAACTCCTTAAAGAAGATATGATCTCATCCCACTGGAAAATTTTAGGCAAGGGAAGGAAACAGGTGATTTCTAGATGGCCCCTCTCTCATACCAATTCCCACCAGTGGGGTTCTTTGTACTAACAAACACCTAATCACCCTCCAGAATCCAGCCATCTCTCCCTCAATATGTGTTCCCTAAGGATCTTGACCTGATTTTATTTCCAGTGGGAATATATTTGCTCCATAATTGATGCAAGTTGAGTACAAGGGACATAACATTACTATATTTCTTCTAAATCAAATTAAATCTGGATCCCAAGGTCTCACTTAATGGAAATTTAATTTCAATTATATTTTTTAGGGACCTTTCTCCCTTTCTAGGATCAGAGGAACATCTTGGGAGCTGACACAGTACCCACAGAATAAGAGAAGGTGTGTGAACTTCAGTTCCCAGGACCACCTGTACCATATCCATCATTCAACGCTTCCCCCACACCTGCTTTTACCCTTCAAACCAAGTGGGGCACAGGAGTCCATGGTGCTTGGTATTAAATCCTTCCAGCATCCACATGCCACCCCATCACAGAGTTTGGCACATCGTTCTATACTATAGGACACTAGACATGGGTCTCTGCCAATCCAGGGATTCCCTCTGGCAGGGTCAGAGAAGCCCAACAGCAACTCACAATCTCCCATCTTTAACACTGAGCCTGGCTCGGCGCCTATAGCTCAACCGGCTAAGGCGCCAGCCACGTACACCTAAGGTGGCGGGTTCGAATCCCCAGCCCGGACCCGCCAAACAACAATGACGGCTGCAACCAAAAAATAGCCGGGCGTTGTGGTGGGCACCTGTGGTCCCAGCTACTTGGGAGGCGGAGGCAGGAGACTCGCTCAAGCCCAGGAGTTGGAGGTTGCTGTGAGCGTGATGCCATGGCACTCTACCCAGGGGGACAGCTTGAGGCTCTGTCTCAAAAAAAAAAAAAAAAAAAAACACGGAGCCATTTTCATATCCTCAGTTCCTCCCATCTGCCTTTCTCACATCCTAGACTGTCATCTGGCTTCCTAACGAAAGTCTGAGTTAAGAGTTCACTTCTGTTTTACTTTAATATTAATTGTGACAAATCTCACAGCTCCAAAAGTCCCCTTTCTGTGGGAAATATCTAAATCACTATCGTCCACCCTTGCTCTCTTCCCAAGCATGTCTTAGTGTTTTCAACTGCCCGCTACAGGTCTCGAAGATGCAATACGTTGGACCCCCCCAAACTCACATCCAAAATGAAACTCATCACTTTCTTCCCAGCCCTTCTGTCACATTGTCAATTTCTATTACTAGCCATGCATACTGTACATCACACAATCAGCATGCAACAAGTAAATTTTAGTGTTTAGTGTTGGGCAGCGCCTGTGGCTCAAGGAGTAGGGCCCGCCCCATATAGCGGAGGTGGTGGGTTCAAACCTGGCCCTGGCCAAAAATGGCAATAAATAAATAAATAAAGGAATCTTAAAAAACCTTTAAGTTAGTCTATGAATAAATCAGTGACCATCTAGAGAATATAAATATGTTAGTCTAACCACAAAGACCTCAGTTGACTCAACTTTTTAAAAACGCCTTTGTTACAATATTACCAACATATTTAAAGAGGGCAATTTGATAAGTTTTAACATATATATGTGAAACCATCACAATCATCACCTCCAAAAGTTTCTTCATGCTCCTTTTAACCCTGTCCCCAACTCTTCAGGCAATCACTCATTAGCTTTCTAAACTTATAGATTAGTTTGCATTTTCTAGAATTATATATATGTGGAATCATACAACATACACACTTCTCTGGCTTTTTTCACTCAACACCATCACATATCATTTGCTCTTTCCTTTTTATTGATGACTGGTGTTCCAGTGTATGGCTATACCGCCATTTGATTTTTCCATTCCTCTGTTGATGAACATTTCTAGTTTGGGGTTATTACAAATAAAGATACCATAAAGATTTATACACAAGTCTATGTGTGAATGTATGCTTTCCCTTAGACTGCAATTCTCTAGGATTGGAATGACTAAATCGTATAGTAGGTGTGTGCTTACTTAAGAAATTGCCAAGCTATTTTGAAAGTGATGGTTGTGGTTTAAATGATTTGGTCCCTCAGAACTGATGTGTTGGAAACTTAATCCCCAATACAACAGTGTTGGGAGTGGGGCTTTGTGGGAAGTGTTTAGCTCATGAGGGCAGAGAAGATTAATGCCACTATCAAAAGGGCTTTCTGGGTGAGTTCTCTCTCTTTTGCTCTTTTGGAGGACATATAGGGCTCGGCATTCATCCTTTTCTGCCCTTCTGTTTCCCCTACGTAAGGACGCAGCAAGACAGCCCTCACCAGACCAAATGCTGGCACCTCAATCTTGGTCTTCCTAGCCTCTAAGAACTGTGAGATAAATCATTTCTGTTTTTTTATAATTTACCTAATTTCAGGGATTCTATTATAGCAACACAAAACAGCCTAATCAGACAGTGGTTATACAACTTTACAGTTCCAGCAGCGGTGAGAGTTTCCATTTCTTTTTTTTTTTTTTTTTTTGAGACGGAGCCTCAAGCTATCCCCCTG